ATATATATATATATATACATAGAGAGAGAGAGAGTGAGAGAGAGAGAAAGAAAAGAGAGAGAAAGATATATATATATATATATATATATATATATATATTTGTCGTAAATCAATCTTTTTCTTTCCTAGATGAGGTAGTGTTGCTTTTCTACCAGGTCATGTAACTTAATAATTGTGTACTTGGGCAGCAAATATACAATGCCGTTAAAACAACTAACAAGGTATAGCGATTAAAATTGTGATTCCATTTTTAGCTGATTTTATTTGTCGTTATACAAAGACGAACACACACACACACACACACAACACACACAGACACACACACACATATATATATATATATATATATATGTGTGTGTGTGTGTGCGCGCGGGTGGGCGCGCGTGTGTGTTATCTCTCAACGGCAGCACAACTCTGAGTTTCACGAACAAAGCAATTTTCAGGTACTGAGTACAGAATATAATTTTCTATTTTCTTGATGGTAAAGTGAAGGGTTTTGGTTCTTGTTAAATTTCAAGTTCAAATACTTCATAAACGAATTTAAACCAGCAATACATAAATCATCAATTCTCACACACATGACCCCTTTTCCTCACTATGATCACTCACTCAATATTTTTACTTTGTGGCAAACTCATAGTGGCAAAACACACTAATTGGATCAGACACACACACACGAACGCGAGCGCGCGCGCGCACACACACACACACACACACACACACCATACAAGATACATGTAGTTACTGTATAGTTTCTTTATAATAATATAAAACATAGTGTATATGTATGGTGAAGGAAGAAACACACACATACTGGAAAAAGCAAACAATAGACGGAACACACACGCACTCGCCCACAAGCGCGCATTCTCTATATGGATATGGTATATATATATATATATATATATATATATATATATATATATATATATATATATATATATATATATTATTAAAAACACACAAAAATGGAGAAAGGCTTAAAAAGACAAAAGACTCACTTCCTTCTCCTTTCTATGATAAATCCTAATTGTTTTATTGCCCATTCAGGCAAGGAACATTTTTCCGCCAGTCCAAAAAAAATTTGGATTATTACCACACACAAAAGACAATGGTTAAATATGAGAAAACAATACAAAAAATAAATTCTTTTAAATAATATTTGAAAATAACCATTTTTCGCGAGATGAAGATCAAAAGACGTGAAACACGTGCAGCAAAAAATATAGTAAATAAGTTTCAATATATAAATGAAATCCACATTATAATCAAAAACCATTGCGATTTCTCTATTTTCTAATAATATATATATATATATATATATATATATATATATATATATATATATATATATATATATATCGGATACCAGTTTGCTTTGATTGACTTACAAGTTGTGTTATCCGCGTTTTTTCTAACCAAATTTTACTAGTAGTATAATATATATATATATATATAATATATATATATATATATATATATATATATATATATAATGGAATGCTTGTGTTATCAATTAATCAGGAGAGTACATAGTTTAATTGAATCATCTTGTCCCTTGATAAGTGGATAACATCTAGGAAACTTGGTGTCGGGAAGATAAGTCTCTCCATTTGTTTATTTCATTTCTGACTGTGTTTTTCTCTCTCCCAAACAGACACACTCTCTCTTTCTTATATATATATATATATATATATATATATATATATATATATATATATGAAGTTAGGCATATAATGGGAGATATTGTGAGAAGTGAAAGTAAGGAAAGTACCTCTTTCCTTTCATTTATCTTGAAAGCGCTTATAATGCTCGTTTATCTTTACAAGTATCTTGGCCAATTCCACATCACTTATATCCACCTGCAATAAAAATGTAAAAAAAACATTATCCGTATTAAAGTACAACCCGAGTAGGTATATGCCATTTGCCACTTTCATACTTTTTATGTGAAAGAAAAATCTAAAATGCAATTTCGATTGTCGAAAATAGTACAATATAATTTCACTATCCGCAATTTACATTTCCAAAGCGCCTCAGATTAACCTCTTGACAAATAAACTTAAATTACACTTTTTATATACACTGAATCTTATATCAGATTTCTAGATATTGAATGTCAGCCAAATCATTTTTTATATATATATATATATATATATATATATATATATATGTGTGTGTGTGTGTGTGTGTGTGTGTGTGTGTGTGTGTGTGTGTGTGCGTGGTACAGTCCGCAAAAACAAAAAATTACCTCAACATTGGAATAGTCTATTTCAAGCTGGTTTGTACGCAGCTATCATAAGCCCCTAAATCCTAGGACTTAGGGGGCGGGTGATAGCTGCGTCCAGACCAGCTTGAAAAAGACTATTCCCATATTGAGGTAATATTTGTTTTTTGGATGTAAAAAAAATCATATGTTCTCTTATAATAAATGCATCAAGCTTCTCTGTGCATCAGTTTATACTATATATATATATATATATATATATATATATATATATATATATATAGCTATCAACAGTTAGTTTGTTTCACTGTATCACAGCTCCCTCAGTATGGATAGATGTCAGATTGCTTCAAGCCGGGATTGAAACCCGACTGATTTGACATCAGTCAGTTTTATATATATATATGTAAAAAATTACCTCAACATGTAAATATACAACAGTATATATATATATATATATATATATATATATATATATATATATATACATATATATATATGTGTGTGTGTGTGTGTGTGTGTGTGTGTGTGTATATATATATATATATGTATATATATATATATATATATATATATATATATATATATATAAAAACAATATATATATATATGTATAAAAAAATATCTATATATATATATATATATATATATATATATATATAACGATTAGCAATGTATACTACGCTATATGTTTTGAGCAAATTGACAGAGAAATGAATTAATCAAACGCTGAAGAGGAGCACCTTTCGTTAGCATCGATGACCGTAAGCAATAAGCGAAAGGCAAAAGGAAGAGAACGAATTTCTTTTAGAATGTATGGATTTGTGCTGAAGTAGGCTTGGTCTCGAGTTTGCACCTGATGTCAAAAAAGCCGTGCACAGCAGACGTTTGGCCTGTAGTCACTCCCATTTTCCGAATACAGATGTTTGATATCGCAAATGCTGCGTGAAAACACGAATATTGGACAGACATATATTAATAAACAGAAATGATTTGAAGAGTCTCTCATACAGCGAAGACGATCAATGTAAGTTTTTAAGTATCGGACAAGAACGCAAAGAACCACCTTGCGGTTAGTAATTGTCAATAGAATGTTAAGTAGCAAGCATCCAAGTCTTGTACTTTTATTTAATCGACACCTCCACTTAATTGTACGTTGTTTTACGTGAGAGAAGGCTATCACAAGTTACTGATACTATATGTATTCTCTACCACCATTCATATGTCGCGTTGCCGAATCTAAGTAAATTAATCAGATAGTCAGAATATATATCACAAAATGCTTACATGTTATCGCTAAATCAGTAGTTCTTTCATTTTCTGTACTGAAAATGAAGCAGTATTGTTATAGATATTTTTACTGCAAAAACATTTATTTGCATAAAAATTTTTTTTTAATTTTTTGGAGTAGATGTAGATAGGTTCACTTATCACCTACTTCACACTCCTTCCCGGTCTTTTGAATAGTAGTAGAGGTGTAATTTCTTGTTTCCCGTTGAGTATTCGGCTTCCGGTTCCTTTCAAAGTCTACTTCAACTCAATACTTCTAACATCTCCACCTAAACTATGGCATTGTATTTACGATTTATTTAATTATTGCCCTTAATAGAAGTAGACATGTTCGCTTACCTTTCTGTTCATACAGGAAGAGAAGTTTATTTCTTATTTCCCGTTTAACACTGGATTTGCCGATCCTTCTAAATTCTACGTCAATTCTATACTTTGGACATCTCCACCTAAACTCTGAAATTTTAGTTATCATCGATTTAAATTTCTATCATCCGCAAAAGAAGTAGATAAGTTCAACTATCGTCCAGTTTATACTCCTCTCCGCCAATGTGTTCGTTTTTCCACAAGCACACACACACACACACACACACACACATATATATATATATATATATATATATATATATATATATGAAAATTTCTCTGATTTAACTAGTAGAGAAGACAATATTTATGAATAAAAATGACAATAGGAAAAATGCTAATTGCTGACGCGTTTCGTCCAATGTGGACTTTATCAAAGCAAAATACGAAAAAAAATTTTTTTTGGCATTAATTAACGAGCAGAGGTTTGATAAGCTGTAGAAAACAATTCAATTACCCTAATTGCACGAAATTAAACGGTCTCATTCAATAAACCTCTACATTGAGTAGCTTTCGAGCCTTGTATTTATTGAGAAAGGCAGAAGAAACGAGGACTGAGGAGGTATTCGCATCTATAAGGTGTTCAATTCTATTCTATGCCTAGTGAAGATATTTCCAAGGCTTCGGATATGCATTCCTTATTCTAATCTCCTTGTCGATCAGATAAGATTATGTGAATACAATCAGTAAATAAAAGTGATGATCACTCATCTCAGAAGTTCAGGCAATAGATTCGAAAGATAAGCCATGACTATAAATGTGAAAGCTGCTATCAGCATAACCGTAGATAACAGGAAAAAAAAATATATATATATATCTGTAGGAAGTTTAAAATGATTCCGACTCCGACCGTATTGACACTGTCGAAGATATTCAGAAAATTATTGGGGGCTTATGAGAGAGGTAGTCTGGTTTACTTCTCTGCAATGATCAGCAGAAACACCTGCTCTTAAGATGACGATATTATTAATGTTATTTGATGCCACAAAAATGGTTGTTGAAATATGAAACAGCTGCGAAATATAGACTGCCAGACAATTAAGCCGGGGTGCGAAATGGAAAGAGCGAAATCGAGATGGAAAGTTTGAGAATATATTAAATCTAAAATTGATTATCGTAGGAATCGCTCTAGAAAAAATAAGGAATATTCACACATTTCTTCGAAAACGCAAACAAAATCTGTCTGACGGTATTTTAATCAATCAATCAATCTATCTATCTATCTATCTATCTATCTATCTATCTATCTATCTATCTATCTATCTGTAGTCTGTACACACACACACACACACACACACACACACACACACACACACACACACACATATATATATATATATATATATATATATATATATATATCATCTGTACATATCTATCTATGTATTTCAGTCTATCTATACCGGATGCGATGAAATGTTCACATATTTCTTCGAAAATGCAAAAAAAATCTATCTGCCTGTATTTTATTCTGCCCTTCTATCTATCTATCTATCTATCTATCTATCTATCTATCTATTTCAGTCTGTTCATATCTATCTATACAGGGTGCGAAGGATAAATTGTCATCAGAATGACGCAAAAATGAAAACAACACTGGCATCTCATTTTAACAGATATATTTACCAAACTTACACAAAAAAATATCTTGAAATGCTACAGAGTAAATTTGTTCAATAAAATCGCCATTCAACCACGGCTTCCTGACGTCTACAGAATCTCTTTCATCGCTTTTCGAGGGTTTCCTTGATTTAGTCTGCGAATTCTGACATAATACTTGCCATCAGTTAATCTTTGGTGTTACAGCGAGATTTGTCCTTCTCTCGCTCAACTGTGCCCCACATATAATAATCAAGGGGGTTGCAGTCTGGGGAGTAAGGTGGCCAGGTGTAAGGGTGATGTGGTCTCAGAAATGATCTGCCTGCCATGACTGTGTTCTGTTGCTTATGTGACATGGTTCAGAGTTCATTTTCCAAAGATAGGTTCTTCCAGCAGCCCCCCCCTTCTTGGCAAGGGCAACACTACCTCCTAAAGTCACTTGATGTATGCCTCCATGTTGAGTCGGATGTCCTATGGGAAGAGGAATAGAGGCATAACATCGCTATCACTCGAAACAATTTCGTAATCATCATTAAATTCATCCAAGTTTTTCCGAATCCTCTGCAATATCCTAAGATTGACATCCAAGTACTTTGAATTTTTCGGATTGGAACTTCCGGTATGAATGCAAACCAGTACAGCATGTCGTATCAAAATACCTAAAGATGCATCTTTTCTCACAGATGGTGCCCCAAAACAGCGCGAAATTAAAAATATGGAATGGCAACAATTTACCATCGTACCCTCCCTCTATGTCTATCTGTCTGTCAATTTCTATCTCTCTCTATATATATATATATATTTCAGTCTGTTCATACCTTTATATCTATTTCAGTCTGTTTTTATCTATCTATCTATCTATCTATCTATCTATCTATCTATCTATCTATCTATCTGAATATGTTCATATCTATCTATCTATCTATCTATCTATCTATCTATCTATCTCCGTTTATACAAACATATATACCTATATCAGTCTATTCAAATCCATCTATATTTCTGTATATATCTATATCTTTTTGTATCTGTTTATTTATTTTCTATCTCAAACTGTTATCATCTATCTCACCCTGTTATTATCTATCTATCTATCTATCTATCTATCTATCTATCTATCTATCTATCTATCTCCGTTTATACAAACATATATACCTATATCAGTCTATTCAAATCCATCTATATTTCTGTATATATCTTTTTGTATCTGTTTATTTATTTTCTATCTCAAACTGTTATCATCTATCTATCTCAAACTGTTATTATCTATCTATCTATCTATCTATCTATCTATCTATCTATCTGAATATGTTCATATCTATCTATCTATCTATCTATCTATCTATCTATCTGAATATGTTCATATCTATCTATCTATCTATCTATCTATCTATCTGTCTGTCTGTCTGTCTGCCTGTCTATCTATCTATCTGAATGATAGTGGGTCTAATGGAGAGGGGTTCGGAATGAGAGATTAGAATCGAGTAATTATTCCACTCGAGTTGTTTACAATCTCTTATGCGCCCTTACCTTTGGGCAAGATTTGAATCAATTTCATTCCTCCAGTTATGGCTTCCACATTGTTGTTAATTTATATGGTAATATCATTATCACCCCCAAATTATTAATGTAATAATATTGCGCAAAATAAGAATTATTCTTAAAATAAAAAAAATGCTTACGTTTTAAATAACAGGTTTACAAGCCATAAAAAATAAATCAATCTATCAATTTCTTACTGTTTTTTATTTATCTAACCCATTGTCTACATATTTTGAACATTTTTTCTGTATATTTTGTTACACAGTTTTTGCGAATACCAGATGACTTATAACTCTTTGTCGAGTACGTCCATAGAAAGATATAATTTTCCAACCATAGCAAAATATAATTTTAAGATTTAGTTTTACTTTAAATGAATAATCAGTTGGAAGGACCGCATCACCAAAAACGATGTCCTTTCTCGGACATCTCCCCTCACCATCGAGGCTACCATTCTTCATCCTAGCCTCCGCTGAACGTGTCACGTGACCAGAATACATCTCACTCGAATGCCACGTATCATCCTCTTTGGATAAGAGGCTAGACGTAGGCCCAAAATGACGCTTAAAAGATCAGTTGAAAACATCCCTAACACAGACCGACATCGACCCTGAGACCTGTTGCTGCAAATCGGCTTTCCTGTCGGAGGACCATTTGAAGGGGAGATTTTGAGTCCAACAGTCTACATGCCCAACTCGCCCACCCACACTCCTCTGTGACTCCTGCTCATTACTCCTCAAGGGTAGTCTGGGACTTCACAATCATCTCTGTCGCCCTCACCAGTGGGGAGAATGTCAATGTGGAGAGAGGATGATGACCCCGATGCTCGGATGCGAGCAGGTGCCAACGATAAAATGAATAAGGCTCTTTAAACTAGATAAATTTTAACATTTCTGGCGCAAATTGGCACAGATTCCAGTTTGTCATTCGCTATAGATTCATTTTGAGCATTTTTTGTTGTTATTGTTCATTCGTTTTTTATTAAACATTTCACCCCAAAGAAGGAGATAATGTCACTAAGATGCAAGAGGTTAGCCTGAACGAGAAGAAGAATTTCGTAGAATGAACCGGAAACTCAATCCTAAACCGGGAAAAGTTACAAACAACTATATCTGTTCAAAAGACGAGAAAAGGTTATGAACCGGACAATAGGTGAATCTACCTACTCCTGAGAATTAAAAGAAATCTTATGATATCAAGCAATGTCTGGGCATGAAATTGGAAGAAGTCTTTTAAACAGGTAAATCTCATTGTCGAAGAAGATGCTCAGATGTCACTTATTAGATTAAATTTCCATAAAAAGACAGTTAACCACCCACGATTTACAAGAGTTCTAAGGAGAATTCCTTCCGCCTCAGAACATTTTTGCTCCACCTGCTATGCTGTATCTTGAGAAATCAAAGCGAAATATATTGCTGCTCTACCTCGACTGGACCTGTAAAATTGGGGTGCATAATTAATTTCAACTTTTCCCACCGCGACGCGAATGAGTCCGAACTTCTATTGTCGATAACTCCAAAACTGTAGATTTTATCAAAATTTCTTTGTTATTTTCGAATTAAATTTATACATTTACACCTAGATGGAACTAATTGGGAATTTTTTTATTAGAAATTGATCGCGGGGCTTGAACTACAAATTATCCTCGAGATGAAATTAGTTCTGTCACCCGTCAAATTCCATCTTTCCAGCTTTCAAAAATGTCTACACCTCCTTGTGAGTGATGGATAATGTTTCACCATGCTGCCGCTTTCGCAGAGACCCAACGTCACTAAGCCACCCCCTTTAATCTATTTCTACGCAAGAAAAACACCCGGTTGCCTGTACCTTTGCAATAAGTACCCAACTACCCGTGCTATTCTCTACCTTTGCAAGTGTCACATCAAGCCTAAAATGGAATGCTGCTGTCATATGTGGACAGAAGATGTCCAGTCCTCACTTTTTACTCTTCATAAAATGCAATAGCCCCATCGCCTTCTCGTGGGTGACAAACTATTTACCACACTGCCTCTCACTGTTGTATCGCTACCTCCATGGTATCTGCCTACAGGAACTAAATTCCTTAATTCCATCAGTTCTTATCTCCTTGGACCCGCAATGCTATTCACATTGTAGCGAACCATCCATCCCTATTCTCTTAGTGAGAATCAAGTACCACAAGAACAGGTTCCTCCCGCGAACCACTGCCCTACGAGACAGACACCCAAGATGTTTTCCCAGTCTGTGTTGGTTAGCGGTTATCTTCTCCACATACACTCATAAACTGTGATCCTTACATTGTAATCTTTATCGAGTGGCTCCTGGGCTTTGTACAGAGTAAGCCTCACTGTAAAAAAAATCAATAGAAAATGAGCTACATTCCTTAAATCAAACTGTTAATCCTTTTAAAACTCGGACACGACATACTACTTATATATGTTCGAATCGTGTTACTCCCTACGTATTCCAACAGTAACTATAAGGATCCATTCAAATTGTTTTCCCGAAGAACCGCAAATTTATGGTAGAAACTCCGGATAGGATGATTCCACAGTTATTACAATATTAGCTTTACAATTCTAGGGTCCACTGTTATCAACACTGAAAGATTTAATTCACCAACTCTGAAACGTGAGAGTTTGTGTGAACATCAGTAAAGGAGGTAAAGAACCGATCAATATAATTGGATAATGTCATGACTCAGGTTTGACATGAGTGTCATCATTCCTGTAATCGGCCACCTTAGCGAAAGCTGAGAGGCCTAACATACATACATACGTACATACCTAGACGGCTACAACATGTTGAAACACCGGTACCCGTACGTTCATCGAAGTTAAGCAGCATCTAGATTGATCTGTACTTTGAGGGGTGACCGCTTAGAAATAACTGGTGTTGTAAACGTGGATATTTGGTAGATGTAATGGATAATGACTCGAATTTTTAAAGGCTTGCAAAACTAATCCAAGATGCTTAAATGTCTTCTTTTATTTGCCCTTATCCTTCAGAATGGAAGCGATCATCGTTTCCACAACGTCCTATTCTTTCTGGTGTTCTTGAAGCATGTCTTGGTAAGGTTTGTCGTGTCCTAATCCCTCCCAATTCTTGTTCTGCCATCCATTTTCACAAGTTTGTTTGGTAGGTTACTCGATGATTCTTCTACGCCCCTCTTCTTTTAATATATCTCGTGGGTGTTAAACTCTCCAACCCATTTTCCTCATTATGTGTCCTAGGTATTTTAATAGACTCTTAAAGTAGGTCTTCCTTTCGTGTGAATTTTCCTTCGAAAAAACACCGTCGTTATACATTTGCTCAGAGCCTAGTATCCTTACCGTCCCTACGAAGGACCACATTTCTGTTGTATCAAGTCTGGACTTCCTCTTTGAAGTGATTGTCCAACATTCACTGTCATATAGGAGGACCGATATTACACAAGAGTTGAGCAATATTTTCTTTGTAACATTTAGCTTAATAAAGATTAATTAAAATATTTCCGTTATAAGTGTCTCGTGATTATTTTGTTTTTTCTGATAATCTTGGCATAAGGCGGACTGACCATTCTGCCAACAAACTGGAGTCATCTAGAGATAATTCAAGAATACACCTCTGGTAAACTAATTATGGATGTCTTTTATCTTTACAACAGTATGTAGATTCACTGTGACTTTTCTAAAATATGTTCATGTTAATTGTTCTGATGAGCATTTCTCTTTGGTACCTCATTTTCACAAGTTTAAATGAAGTAATAGATTGACATTTTACTGCTGTAATTTATTGAGGTAACTCTAGGTTTGATGCTGATAGCTTCTTCTCTTGCATTTTCTTCTTCAGGAATTCTCTTCTAACTTATTGCTTTCCTGTCAACTAAGATCTCTAAAAATGTCAATCGCCGTTTTCTGTCTTCTTTGAATCTTCTTTTTGCTGTGCTTCCTTCTCAATAATGATTCATTCGTCCTCAATAACCGTTTGCGTCGTAGTTGGTGTCATCGGCCTGTTTAAGCTGAAATGATTAAAAACAACTACGACTCTTAAATCATACTAGTAGTATAACCCGTCTTCGACCGGCTGTTTCATTACTGGGGATTTTTGCTATTCAGTTTGGATCAGTTTACGTTTAAAATCAGCCCACCCGAAAATCATTATTAGTAACAGCAATTGAGTGCAACTGAGGCACATAACCAAAGCTTCTTCCATGGACCGTCATAATAATAATATACGATGTTTTTTATTTATAATATATATATTTTTTATTATTCTAATAATATTTTGCGTTAGATTTCAACTCGCTAAATTGATTGTAGGCTGTTTTTTACAGACATTAAATTTTACCCTTGATTTTTGTGCATAGTGTAACAAATCAGTCTTTTCGATTTTTACGTTCAAGTTTGTAATTTTTTCCAGCCAATTTGGGCTCAAAACCGGCACTGAAGTGTTATCTATCAAACAAAGAAAAATCACTAAAATCGGAGGAGAACTATGGAAACGTATAAACAGCATCCGATAACACACACACGCACGCAGAAACATACATACATAAACACACATTTTGAGAATTATAGATATAGAAAACATATTTTTTATCGAATACTAAACTAATTGTGACTGCCATGTATTTTTGTCAGCTAATCGTAAGAAATTCTGTTATCATCTAATATTATCCATATTAAATATGTTCTTAATGTTATGCAAGGCAATAAAGCCACTACGAGGCAAGGGGTTATTGAGTTTAAAAAATATGAGAAAAAAACTACTATTCAGCAGAGAGAACAATAAAAGAACAGGATTTAAGCAGACAAAAGATAACGATTGATATTGCATCTAAATTTTCGAAGATCATGTTGAATTTGAAGCAAGAAACCAGAAATACGTCCCACAAACGAGAAATACGAAAGCAGAAACCGTTATCATAAAACTGACAGTTACATCTGGTAATTTCAGTTGTAAATTGATGAGATCTTGCCGGCAATATAATAGTGCTCTTAAATTCATATATTTATCATGACAGATTATCAGTTACCGGAACATCGGTGGTTTACGCTGACTTAAGAATAGTAAGAAATATCGAACTTACGTTATTTGATCAGCTATTTTAGCAAGTCATTAAATGAAAATTCTCCCAAATTCGCTTCACATTTCATTCTCTTATCAAATTCTTCACAAGTTTTATGTGGAGAAACTTTATAGTAATAATGCGTTGTTGTTGTTTTTTCTAAAGCTTTTTTTCTTTATACATTGTTAAAGTATTTATTTTCGATTTACTTAGTGATTTCGTTCGACGATAATTACTGTCTTGGTCATTTTCCGTTTTCCCAGTCATTCTATCCTTCTTAATAAATTAAGACTGGTAAAAAAAAAAAAAAAAAAACAACAATTGCGAGTCTGACGAATATAAATCATTTCGACGCTAAATTGCTGAGATGAAATCACATCCAATACACACAGTCACACAAAAAATCACTTTCTTTATTAAGCGTCTTATCTGAATAGATCCCCAAACAATGAAGCTGTAACGTTTCGTAGAAATCGTAGTAATCTACTAATAGAAAAAAGATGTTCCATTTTTTACTCTCCTGAGGCCTGGGTATCGATGTTGAGATTGACGATGCTGATGACATAGGTATACAAAGTTGCGATAAGAAAGAGTTTATATAAATTATCAACATTCTCTACAATGTCTTCGAAGAATTATGATTTAACAGTAAACTTTTCCAAAAGATAAACTATGGTTGGAAATTGGAATGGAGTTAGTGATGACACATCCGAAATTCATCATAAAAAATTCATCAGGCACATTAAAATTCAGCGTTATATCAAACTCAATACTTAATACCGTAATCCAAATATTTTGAACACAATTATATTGCTTCAACTAAATATATTTTGAACACCATTGCATGCCTTCAACTAAATATATTTTGATAAACTATGATTGAAAATTTGAATAGAGATAGTGATGGCACATATCCGAAATCCATCATAAAAAAATTCAGGATGTGAAATTGCAGAGCTGGGCACCAAACCGTTAATCGTTGATTAACGAAGTTGTCGTTTTTGTTGGCTTCGCGCGAATGAATGCTGTTGATGTAAGGGAGGAGCATCCTTCGTTCAAATTTTGTAGACGACAAAATCACAAACAAATATAACGGAAACCATATCACTTGAAGTTATCAACAGCAACAGCAGAGACAATGGATAGCATATACAACTCGAAGAAAGAATACTGAAATTCAGATATCTTTGTCGCCATATTTGTCACAACGTTTCGGCCGTTTACGCTCCGGCCTTCTTCAGGTGGTTGAACCCTTTATTTCGATCACCGGGGTAGACGGTTCTAGTTCCACGTGCCATGTTTGATGGATGTCAGTTATCAGTTATCTCCTGCTAATTTTCTCTCTTAACCGGGTATTGAACTCACACTCTTTGGGTCTGTCACTGGATCTAACCAACGCCTTTATCCACTGTGCCATGTCCTTGAGGATATCTAGGTATGAATTTCTGGGTATTATAAACCTAATGTTTTCAGCAACCATTTTTTACCAGTGTATTTATTTCTATGCTTGTTCGCTTAGGAGATTTTGTGGCCTAGCATATATGCTGATTACTTAAGTTTACGAATTTTCCAATAGTGTTCCCTGTCTATGATCTCAACATGATCTCACAGGGGACGGCGATCTCCCTTCTCTCTCCATATGTGGTCAGCCACGCCTGATTTTTCTACTTCCCTTCGCGTTACAGCTATCTGGTGTTCTTGAAGCCTTACCTTGAGGAGGCGGCCTGTCTCTCCTTTATATTATATTTATACTGTACATAATACCTCATCTCAGAAATATAGACAGACTCTGAAATTCAGATGTTGACATTTTTTGCATTTCTACAAACAATACATTAATCCCATCGTTGATAGAAAAGGCGATGGCATTGGAGATGAGAAACTTAATTTCATTGAAAAAAAAAAAAGATTTTATGTCTTTTAAACGAAATTGATAAAATTTATTCGGTCAGTGAATGCCGACTCTTTCCATATAAGGATATCGCTATTCTCATCATTACCATATATATCTATATCTGTAAGCAAATATATGGATATAAATCCGACAGTATGAAGAAAAATATATACGGAAAAAACAATCAAAAATCCTTATATACAATTATGCTCTTTTAATGTTAATATGTCAACGTCGGACGTTTCGATCTAATAAACCATCTTCAGGACATATTCATAAATTTTAACATTATCAATACAACATGACAAAGACGATGTACATAAGAACAGGACTTATCCAAACAGAATAACTGATTTGACCATGTTTTTAAACGGTGCGCTGATCTTATAAAACTTTCAGTTATCTGTTTGGATAAGTCCAAAAGTTTTTATATTAAATGTTGCAAATTTCTGAATATGTTATAAGATTTTTATTATACAATTATATACGTTATATTTATATTTATTTATATAATTATATTTTTTTTGTTTTTTGTTTATTTTTTATTTATCTATATATATATTCATTCAAAATGTGTGTGTGTGTGTGTATGTATTTGTGTATGTGTGTGTGATCAGATTTTCTTTATGCGTTTCCACAGTTTTTATCCGATTTCGATGATTTTTTTTGTTTAATAGATAAGTACCGGTTTTGAGTCCAAATTTGCTGGGAAAAATTGCAACCTTGAAGGTGAAAATTCGAAAAAAACTGATTTGTTACACATTGCGCAAAAATCAAAGACAAAATTTAATGCCAGTAAAAAGCAGTGTACAATCCATTTAGTGAATGGAAATCTAACGCAAAAGATTATTAGAATTATAAAAAACGATTATATTATAAATAAAAATTATCGTATATTATTATTATTGTTATTATGATCCATGGAAGAGGTTCCTTCCTTGCATGATTGAAAACTCA